AAATAAATAAATAAATCTTTAAAAAAATAAAATAAAAAGACATGTGGGACAGGGAAATCTGAACATAAATTTAAGTTAATCCTAAGGATAATTTTGTTAATGTAATAATGGTACTGTAGTTTCATTACAATTGTTTAGAAATTATGTTAAAAGTTTAGAGCAGTAGTTCTCAACCAGCACAAATGTGTCCCCAAGCAACATTTTGCCATGTCTAGAGATGTTTTTGGCTGTCCAGAGGAGGGGGTGTAATGCTACAGTGCAGGAGGAGCCCCCATCTACTGGGTGGAGGCCAGGAATGGGGTTACACATCCAAAAGTGCACGGCACAGACCTCAAAGCAAGACTTACCTACCAGGCACCAAATATTTGTAGCTCAGTTATTGGACAGATATACTTGAATATTGCAGATAAAATATAGAAGATATGCTTTAAATTATTTCAGGAAAAAGTTGGGAAGCTAAATATAGAAATTAAGAATGACAAGCTATCGGGGTGCCTGGGTGGCTCAGTCGTTAAGCGTCTGCCTTCAGCTCAGATCATGATCCCAGGGTCCTGGGATCGAGCCCCGCATCGAACTCCCTGCTCGGCGGGAAGCCTGCTTCTCCCTCTCCCACTCCCCCTGCTTGTGTTCCCTCTCTCGCTGTGTCTCTAACAAATAAAATCTTTAAAAAAAAAAAAAAAAAGGAATGACAAGCTATGGATAATTTGAAGCTGGGTGACGGGGCACTAAAATACATATATTCCACAACACACATGAAGTGACCTACCGCAGAATGTCACAATACTTGTACTTTCATGTATGTTTGAAAAGAATGACCAAGTTTAAAAACTAAGATGATCCCAGACACCAGGCAGGTCTTCCCATTCATCCTTCCCACAAACACTGACTCGGCCCCTCAGGAGCCAGGCTCCGCCCCAATGCCCATGACGGCACTGAGACTGACATGCCAGGAGCGGTGCTTCCACCACACCACACCAGTGAGGACTGGGCCGGAGAACAGGGGGTAGGGAGAAAGGAAATGCTGCCCATCCCCCCCACCACCACCCCCAGCCCTGTCCCTTGGCCCCCGGTTACCCATTCCACTGCTCCCTGGGCAAGCTCATCCAGCTGACACCAAAACGGCGATCAGTATGTTCATGACGCCTAAGTTTCTATCAGACGTCATGCCTGGAACACAGCTCTGCTGAGGGGTCTCAGGACCTCAAAGTGCCTGCCAACACTGTTCCCCAACACCGACCCCCCACCCTGAAACCTGCTCCTCTCCCTTGCTTCTCAACTGCCATTTCTACCCACCACCCTGAAACCTGCTCCTCTCCCTTGCTTCTCAGCTGCCATTTCTACCCAATCACCAAAGCCAGGAGTCTGAGCAGCTTACTTGACTCCTCTTCCCCCTCCAGCACACCCCATCAACCACCACAATCTGGGTGTTTACAGGTCATGTGTCTCTCAAATCCACGGACTTCGCTCCATCCTCCTGCCGCTACTTTCAATCAGGTCACCCGTCTTCCAACCAGCTGACCACAAGCTGTTAGTTCTCAAAGCTCCAGAGATAGTACCACCATCACTTCTGCCTGCTCCACATTCCCAGCCTGCAGAACGCAGCTCTGCAGGGCTGGAGTAATAACTACCTGCTCTATAACCCCTGACCACATTTACCTCATTAGGAGGAACTCTATGTGCCAGGTAACAGACCACATTCCAGACCTTTCCAAGGCTTCCTTCTCACTCCACGAACACCCAACTTTCTTCTAGGACCCACAGAGGCCAACAAGATCTGCCGTACTGGGCCCCAGCTCCCAACCTCAGACCTCATCTCCCACTGCTCTCTGCTTAGGCTACACGAGCTTTGTCACTGTCCCCAAACACCAGGGGGATCTACGCTCAATGGGCTCCCTGCTCAGGACCCTACCTACCTGCCTGCTAGAATAACCTGGTGTCACTTGGGCCTACTTAATGCCACCTCTTGACCTTCCTAAGAACAGCATCCAGAGCAATTCTACTCCCTTCCCAGCTGCTACCTGAGAGAGCACACACGTTGTCTTTGACAAGGCGGGCCCCAGGACTTGCCCTGCTTAAAGGCCTGAATCACTGAGTGGTTAGATGAACCTAAGTCACCCCCCCTTCCCTGTGTCCCAAGGAGGGTTCGAAGTGCTGACTGACGCCTGGCAGTGCCACAAGTGACATGACTCAGTGGGCTGGAAAATCAGACAAGAATTGGAAATCTGACCATGTGGCCTGAATCCTCTGAGGAAGGGCCCAGAGAGCTGCGGTAGAGTTCGGGGTCGCATAGGTAAGCTTAGTGAGTACCTGGCAGGCAGGAGATACAAGTGGGTTTGCTGCTATTGTGACTGTGTTTAGCACTTTTCTCCCCACTGCACAGACAAAACCAAACCACTTGCTTAAGGTCACATGACAGAGCCAAGCTGTGAAGCACAGTTGCAGGGCCACGCTCCGGGCAGGGGGGGGCCCCCCACACCCATCTAGGTCACAGCAGTGGTGTACCCGCATGTGTTGGGGGGAGGGGCACATGCACACACGCAGCACACCTTTCCGCAGCCGGGCACCTCAACGCCGTCCACAGGCCGGGGGATCTCAATGGACTTGACAAGCCCATACTTGCTGCACTCATCCCGCACATCCTCCACAATCTCCTCATACTCCTCATCGTCCAGGAGCTCCTCGGGCAGCACCATGTTCATGAGGCACAGGACCTCAGTCGGGTGGCCACCCATCTGCACCTGGGAGCTCATGAGCCCCGGCACTTGCAGGGTCACGGGGGTCTGGTTGATGGTGCTCTGTGGGGGAAAAGGGGGGGGCGTCACGGCTAGGGCCACACAGCACCCCCAGAGGCCTACCCAGAAAAAAACACACCCTGCCCCTGAAGGCCCAGGTGTCCACTCTCAGCGCAGCCCAGGAAAGCCAGGGCCAGAGCTTATAGGGACCTACTCCCAACCCCACCCATCCCCACGCCACCCCCAGGTGTCCCTCTAGCCAATGGAAGATGACGTGCCGGGGGGCTCACCAGCGTGGCATTCTTGGCTCCCACACTTGCCCTCTGGACGAGCAGTTTCTTATCCCCCAGCTGCATCCCATTCAGCCCTGCGATGGCCTGTGTATGGAGGAGTGGGGGGGGGGAGCGCAGCGAAGAAGTGCGGGTCAGGAGCCAGGAGACTGACACCTCCCCCCAAGCCCCAATACCCCAGAGCCGGGCATTGGTGGGGGAGAGCTTGGAAAGAGCTGGAACCGAGGGAAAGGGGCCAAGTCCCCCACACAGGACCCTGCTGCAGGCTGGCCTCCTCCCACCCCTCCCGAGGTGGGGGGGCGGGGGGAAGACTTCAGTGTGGACACAGCAGGGTGAGAGGCAAGGGTGGATGCAGCAGTGCCAGGGACCCGGGGCTCACCTGATCTGTAACGTTGATGTCCACGTACTCACAGAAGGCGTAGCCCTTGGAGAGCCCTGTGGCACTGTCCTTGACCAGGTTGAAGGCCTTGAGAGGCCCGAACGATGTCAGCAGCTCTTTTACCTGCGGCAAGGCCGCAACTCCATCAGGGCTGGTTTGGGCAAAGACTGGGAGGGGAGAAGCCAGGAGGGAGGCAAGGGGTCTACCTGGTCATCATTCAGGTAATTGGGTAAGCCCCCGATGAACAGCTTGTGGGCAGAGTCCGGGACTACGGTGGACACAACTCCTGGGGAAAAAGGGGAGTAGACAGGCTTTGGTTTCCAGCACAAAGTCTTTACCCAGAGCCCTGAGGTGAGGGCACAGGGACAGGCCCATTACGCCTGCCACGGCAACAACAGGCTGACAATCGGCCATCCACCCACCCACTCTAGCCATGGAGGCCCAGCAACCACTGTCTCCCAAACCCGCCCGAGACTCTGAGACTCACACTAGCAGCTTTCCTCGGAACACGCCATTAACAGACAGGAGCGTGGCACGGCAGCAAAGGTCCCCCGCTTAGGGGCCACAAAGACACAAGCTCACACCCAAACCTGCCAACCACAGCAGGTAATGTTGGCTCTCGCCCTACTCGTGAGGTATCAGGATGACACACCTACCCCCCTCCCTCCATCAGACCACAACTCCAAGCCCTTTCTTACCACCTGATATTTACATCAGATCTCCCATTGAGACTCTTGGCCCTTTTCTCTGTGGTCCTGTATTTTTTCCAACTACAAAAGCTCAGCAACTCCCCCTCTGTCCTATTGTGTGTGAAATCGGAGAGGCCTGCTGCTCCGGGTCCGTGAGGGCAAAGACAGACTCAGTTCACTCAGCACCCTGACCACAGAGGCCAGCAGGGATGTCACAGGGGACTCATGTCCGCTGAGTGGGTTTAATGACCACTAGGTGTCTAACCCCCATGGTGCTGTCTCCACTCTCCACTCAACTCTGGATTCAGAGATAAGTGCCTGGCCAGGGGGCTCAGCCCGTTGGTCCCACTCACTTCAAAAGTGTGCCATTCAATTCCTGGAGGCTTCCTGTGAGCTACCCAGAGCTCCAGCTCGCTGTTGGGGCTCAATGTTAAGAGAAACACCCCCCACCCAGCCTGACCAGTTCCAGACTTTCCAAGGTTGGAGCCCACTACCAATGGCAGCACGGCCTGGCCCGCCTCTGCAGTCCATACCAAGTGGCCCCTCCCCACCTCCTCCTGACCTAGGGAGGGCAGGTGAGATAGGAAATGGGAAAAAGCATCAGACACGGAGTCACTGGACCCGAAGAAGGGTGCACCCTCCTCTCCTACCACCACCCCAGCTACTTCAACAACCAGAGCTGAGCCCCATCAGGGTGGGGCCATGGGGGTGTGCATGGAGATCCAACATGTCCAAAGAAGGATAAACAGAGGCCACAAGCCAGGCACTACAGGTAAACTTACATCTACTGCCTCAGTGCTCTCCAAAGCCCTATCCATAGTAAGACAAAATAAACTAAGGCAGAAAAAGGGAGTTCTACCCTGGATTCACACAGGCAGAAAGAGATCTCTCTAAAATCCCTATCACCTGTGACTCCACAGGTGGTTCTCGGCAAGCTAAGGGACCATCACTCTGACCGATGGCAGACGACGACAGGGGCAGAGGTTTGTCACCCCAGTAGGGGAGTAGCAGAGCCAGATGAACCTCAGCCAGCGGGCCGAGGCTGAGACGTGCTGTGCCATGCATCCCAGGGAAGTACACACTGCTGAGGGCACCAGGGTCGGGATCCCTGGGTTCAAATCTGGGGTGCAGCACCAAGTGAGGCTCCCCTGGGCCTTAGTGTTCTCATCTATGAAACAAGAACAGTCACACCTACAAAAGAGGAGAAAAACAACCCAGAGGGAGTATGCACCTAAAATGGGGCCTGAGGCCAGGGCCACAGTGACCGCAGACCCTGGGTGTACAATGGTTCTGAAGCAGGGACAACAAACCACACAAGGTCACACAAACAGAAAGGGGTGATACGAATCAGTCCCCGTGCCCAAACATCAACCCCCTGGGCAACCTCCTCTCCCAACACAACAGGCGGGCTCCTCCCTGACCGTGCATCTACTGTCTCAGAAGGGCCACCTGGCACACACCTCCCATCCTCAATTCCAAGGCCTCACCTCGTCTCTGAAGGCCATGCTGGACCCCCAACAGCTGAGCAATCTTTTCTTGTACCTGGAATACCACTTCCTCCTACCATGCACTCACCACTGGGCCTGGCCGAGAACTCTGCTGAGGGAGAGGGTGCATGGGGGTGAGGCCCCACTAGCAGGAGCCTACTGAGGAAGACTGGGACTTGGCCCTGCACTGAGCAGGGAGCCTGGCATGGCAGTGGGCGGGTGCTCAGGACTAGCTGAATTCACACACTGAATGGCTATTCTGCTTTCCTGCCTCGAAAACAGCTCTGGCTCTCCTTATTCTTCCCCCGCTCCCCTTTCCCTTTTGTCTTAAAAGGAGGGCCAGGATCCCACCATCAGTCCTCAATAGCTAGGCCTGACTTCAATGGGAATGAATTTAAGGTTTCACAACTCCAGGGGATGCGTGTTTAGTTTTAGGTCAACGCGCTTCCATCAAGGTCAGGAAGTCGCCTTCCAGGTTCCTGAATTGTTCCTCGTCCAACCAAGAATGTCTGAATTTTATCACATGCTTTTCCCCTTTAACCTCCTTATTTAACAAAACTTTGTTTTTTTAATGGAAAACGAAGATCAAAACCTAAGTTTTACTCTGGAGTTAAGAGAAAAACCAACCAGAGGATGCTTAACCTGCAGGCAGAATCCCACTTCCTGCTGCTTCCCGCCACACTCCCAGAACTGAGCACGCCCACCCAGGCACTGGTATTGCAGACCCTCAGCCCTCTCTGGGTGGGCAAATCCCAGAGTGAGAAAAGCGGTAAGTGATCTTTCAGCAGCTTCATGACACCAACAGCCACCTCTAGAAAGGGCCCCATGACTCCAGGAAGACTCCAAAGCAGCTGTCCCTGGATCTATGAGGTCTCCGTTCCCAGGGAGACCACTAATCGTGCCCTTGCCTTGCTTTCCTCCTGAGTGAAATGGGATCCCAGTATCCACAATGGTGGCTGTCAAACTGCTCACTAAAGGGCTGAGTGGCAAACATTCTTTGTGGCCCACAGGGTCTCCGTCACTCAAATTGGCCACTGCTGCACAAAACAGACTATAGACAATGAGTGGGCTGGACTCTGTACTAATTAATCTTTATTTAAAAAATGGGCAGGGGGCACCTGGCTGGCTCAGTCGGTGGAGAATGCGCCTCTTTCTCAAGTACGTGAGTTCGAGCCCCACGCTAGACATGGAGCCTACTTAGGAAAAAAAAAAAAAAGGCAGTAAACCACATTTGGCCCCCTCGCTGTCCCTCGCTGACCTTGTACTACAGGCGGTCATAAAAATTAACATGATGCACAGAGCCCACTTGGGAAAGTGCCTGACATAGTAAGCTTCGGCAAGTGAGTAGGCTCCTTACGTTATTAATAACGACTTAAAGCACACGAGGTTTACTTAGCAAAGGGGTGCCTGGGTGGCCTAGTCAGTTAGGTGCCCGACTCTTGGTTTTGGCTCAGGTCATGATCTTGCAGTCGTGCGACTAAGCCGGCATCAGACTGCTCCAGGCTTTCTCCCCCCCACCCCCCTTCTCACGCACTCTAAAATAAATAAAGTCTTGGGGCACCTGGGTGGCTCAGTTGTTGAGCGTCTACCTTCAGCTCAGATCATGATCCCAGGGTCCTGGGATCGAGCCTCGCGTCGGGCTCCCTGCTCGGCAGGAAGCCCTCTCCCTCTCCCTCTCCCACTCCCCCTGCTTCTAACCCCTCTCTGTGTCTCTATCACATAATTAAAGTCTTTAACAAAAATAAACAAAAAATAAATAAAACCTTTAGAAAGTTTACTTTGTACAAAACAAAGTTCCGTGGCTTCACCTGGGACATGCTCCCACAGATGCGTGCCCACATAGAAAGTCATCAGGCTGTGTGCTTAGAGCAGGTCAGTATGTAGGATACCTCAGGTATTGAAAGAATTCAAGAGATCCACCGAACCTACCCAATTATTACAGTGGAAAACACTGGAGACAAGCCAGGGAACCAGCCCCCAGTCCTGAGGTGCCACTCTCTCTGGGACTCCAAGTCCCCTGCTTTGCCAAGAGTGGACTCGGTTTCTAAAAGGTGTCCTCAGGGCGAAGCCTCAGCCCGTGGAATCCCACCTTCTACTACTTCCTCCCCCCATGCCCAGAGCACCAGGGCTCACCCACCTTTCCTGGCAGAATTCCAGGGCCTGAGACCCAGGACCCCTGGCTCCGCTACAGCACAGGCTCCTCCTCCAAGCCCATTTTGCTCCCTGCACCGCAACAGGGCCTCACAGAGATGCAAATCCTCACTTACACTTACCACAGGACACAGCAACCAGCCTGCAGGTCGACTCAGGCCTGCTGTCTGTTTCCATGAAGCCCGCAAGGGTTTTTAGAGACTATTGCACAACAAAGGGGTAGTATATGAAACGGGAAAGTCAACATCCATAAACAACAAGGCCATGCCCATTCACTTAGGTATCACAAGGCTGCGTGCAGGCTGCCACGTCACAACAGAACTGTGACCCAGACGGTATGGTATCATCCACAAAGCCAAAGATATTTACCACCTGACCCTTCGCAGGAAAAGCTCGCCGACCCCAGGTCAGCTATGCTCTCCGCTGACCCAGAATACTACTGAACATAGCTGTGGGGAATGGCCCAAAGCACAAAAGTCAAGAGCAACAATGAGGGAATATCCAGCTGCCATCCCCACATGGGTAGCCTGACTGCTTGTGCTCACACTGACCACCAAGGTCCCAGAACGAGAATGACAGTCAGGCTGCAAGCCCTTCACCTCCCTCAACACATCCCACAGTTGAGGGAGTGCAAACTCAAGCGGGGAGAATGCCCAGCTCCAAAGGTTTGGGGGAATGAATGAGAAGCACTCACACCATTTCCCAAGTATCTCCACCTAGGCTGGAAACAGAAGGGAGAAACTAGGCCCCCACTCACCAGGCACATAGACAGAGGGGTTCTCTGACATGCCAGGCAGTGGCTGGTAGTCGTGAGGCCTGCGAATCTTCAGCGACTGGCCCTGGAAGATGATGCCATCAAAGGCCATGGCCTGGGTGGTCTCATCCACTGAGCGGAACTGAAAGAGAAGGGGGTGGTGAGGGTCAGGGAGCCCAGCGGACAACGGCCTGCAGAAGGGCCCTAGGCAAACAAGGGCTGCTGCAGAGGTGCTGCCGCCAAGAGGCATGCACGATTTCCTGACCCCACCATGCACCCGGCTCACCTCCAAGAAGGCAAAGTTCTTGTCTTGGTTAATCTGCACAGCCAAGACGGGGTTGCCAGGGGCCTGGGTCAGTCCCCCAAGGCGCATCTGGGCGTTGAAGAAGTCCATCATGGCCTCCTGCAGAGGGAATAGGAGACAGGGGGGGGCGGGGGGAGGGAGGTGGAGAGAGGAGGGGAGGGTGAGAGAGGGAGACACAGAGGGGTTTGGGGGTAAGGGGAAGGGGGGGTAAGGACGGGTGGAAGAAGGGAGGAGCAGTGGAACGGGGCCGGGGGCACAGAGAGCAGTAGTAGGAGCAAAGGCGAGAGGAAATGAAAGACGACAGAGGAACGAAGGCAGGAGCGAGAGACAGCCAGAGGCCAAGAGTGCGGGGAGGGCCACGGGGGCCCAACCAGAGGACGGGCGTCGTCCAGGAACAATGCAAGGAACAGCAACAACAGGGAAAGAAAAGCATCAGATAGAAAACGAGGAGGTAGAACAGGAGAGAAAAAGCATCCAGTGGCAACAAGAGAAAAGCGGTAGGAAAGCAGCAAAAAAAAACAGGCAGGAAGAGAGAGCACCAAGTCAGAGAGGAAGAGCAGCAAAGGTACAGGGAGGGTGGAGGGAAGGAGGGTGGGGGGAGGGAGGGTGGGCGGGAGGGGGGAGAAAAGAGTGATGTGGCGGGATCTGGCCCTGGAGTCCGGGGGCTGCTTTATCAAACGTAGCAAAGTGCAGGTTGAGAAAGTCAGAATGGACCTTACTTGCCTTCGACGACGGTAGCAAACTTTTTGTTGCTACGAGGGATCTCAGCCCCACAATATTTCACTTTAAAGAGAAATGGAAACAACTCTTTGATCTCGGGATTCTCGGGGTGCCACGGGAAGGGGTTGGGGAGAGGGGAGGGGAGAGGAGCGGTGGGGAAGGTTGGGGAGGTCAGGGCCATCAAAAACAAAAGAGCAGCGACCACGGGAGGGACGTGGGGAGAGGATGGGGAACAGGCGGCAGAGAACCAGAGGTGTGTCAAAGACATGTGAAGGGAGCGTGCGTCTGTGTGTACGTGTGTGTGTGTCAGCGTGCGCGCGCGTGCGAGTCTCCCTCTCTGTCTCTCTCGATACGGATTCATGGATTTTCGTAGGTTCGTTATGTGTGTGCTTGATCCCTGGGTTGTTGGAGGAGGTTGGGAGAGGGGAGACGGGAGAGGGGAAGAGGAGGGAGGGAGAGGGCCACCCCCAGCCCGGCCCCTGGCTGGCTCAACTCCATCGGTCCGTCTGGGAGGGGGCCGGGGGGCCTTGCAGGAGCAGAGTCTGACCCGTGCAGGTTGGGGAAGGGAAGGGAGGGAAGGGGAGGAATGGGTGGGGGGAACTGGGGAGAGGGCAGGGGCAGGGAAAAGGCAGGGGGCGGGCAGTACCTCAGTGATGCCAAAGGGGATGTTGCCCACGTAGAGGCGCCGGGCCTGTCTGGTCATCTGGCTCCCGACCACGGGCACCGGCGTCGGGGTCACAGCCAGGCCGTCAGGGGTCATGGTGGGGAGAAGGGCGGTGGCTGGAATCTGACCCGCAGCTTCAAGAAGGGCAGCGGGATTAGACCGCAACAAGGCAATCCTCTACACCCCCCACCCGGTTCAGGGATCACCCACTGCACACCCGGACAGCCACGGGAGGGCAGCTTCCCATGGACCAGCCCAACGGAGGCTCAACCCCACTCCGCCAAGGAGTCTCGCAGAATCTCCTCCGTGGTGATCGAAAAAGCAGAAACCAGGAAGCCCAGGACACAAACCTTATCCTGCCACCCCCCACCACCACCTGCCCCCACCAGATCAGAGTCTGCTCCCTCAACCACCCAGCACACTCAGTTCGGTAGCTAATGAAGCAGCAACTAAAGCCTACCTTGCATGGCCTTGTACTGCATAGGGGTGATGTGCTCAAAGCCAGGTGGTGGTACATCCCAGTATTTACGGACCTTCTTCTTCTTCTCATGGCGGGGGGAACGACTGGGAAGGAGGGGAGGGGAGAGCAGGGCAGGACCACCTCAGTCTGACCAAAGGTGGGCCTGCGAGCACCCCAGGCTCCCCTCAGCTCCCCACCAGGAGTGCAGCGCTCTCCAGGAGGGAGAGGATCTGGGTCAGGGCCGCACCCAGGCCTGGGGGAGGGTGCTGTTTTCAAGGCAAGTGGACTCTCTTCCCCAGTGCTCGGGCTAGGGCTGCACAATGGCAGGGCAGGGTGCACAGGGGCGGGGGGGGGGGTGGGGGGCAAAGGAAGTGGACATCAGGGTGGAAGGGGCAGGAAGAGAAGCTCACATCAATCCACCGTGCTCCTCTTTAGCGCCTCTGGTCAAAGGTTTGCTGGGGGGTGGGAGGGAAAGGTATGGGGAAGGGTGACTGGGGACCCTTGTCTTCCCCACACGCCACACCTCCCCAAGGGCACAGAGCCCCAGGGCTGGGGGCAAGCCCCCTCGGCCCTGCCATTTCCCCCAAACCCCCTACCCCAGGAAAGAGGAACTGAGGAAGGCAGAAAAGGCCACACAGACCACTTTCTACTTGGAGAAACTGAGACAGAAGGAGACAGGAAGACTTCAACCTACCCCGCCCTTCCTCACCTAAGGGAACAGAAGACAGAGAGGGCAGTCTACAGAGAAAAGAAGCATTAGAAGAGCAGAAAGCACTCAGGAATAGGAGATCCTGCCCCACTTCAAAAACCCCCTCTTCCCAGGAGGCAAAGCACAGGCCCCAAAAGACAATCCCATAGAGAACCTCAGACAACGGAGAAAATAAGAAACCAGCCCTAAGAAACAGGGACTTGAAACAGGCCTCACGAAAGAAGAAACAGAGTCGAGTGCCCTGACTCCAGACTCAACTCCAAGATAAACAACCTACTACCCCCCACCAACCCACCAGAAACTGAAAAAACTCCAGGAACAGGGTTAAAAAAAAAAAAAAAAAAAAAAAAAACTGAACTCAAGACAAGGAGCAGACCCCCGCCCCCCAGATACACAGAGAGAAGCACACAGATCTGAGTGCACCGCTACCCCGTTCCCACCTGTGCCCAGCCGGGAGTCCCCAAGCCCTGGTACCTTCGCCGTCGCCTGTCCCGGGAGGCGCTCCGCTGGTCCCGGTTGCGCCGGTCCCGACTCCGGCTCCGGCGCTTGCGGTCCCGGCTTCGAGAGCGGCTGTGGCTGCGCTTCCGGTGCCGGTTCTCCTTGTCTCGCTCTGGGCCAGGGCGAGGCGGAGAAGAATGAGCTGAGGGAGGACACGGCCCAGCCCACCCACTGTGGTAACTATGCCCCGAGCCCCAGGGAGACCACCCCCAAGGGAAAGGGACTCAATGGAGGAGGGGAGAGAACAGGCTTCCTGGGTCCACAGGCGAGTCCAGGGACCCTGGGGGACCAAGGGGACGGGAGCTGGTTACCTGAGGGGACAGGGCCTGGAAATGCCCCCGGGGTGTAAGATACCTGAGGATGCTCAGGAGGAGCTGGGGAGCCAGAGAAGACAGAGGAGGCTGGCTCCTGGTCCCCCTCGAGGGCTGAGGGGCCTGACCCCAGGGTCGTCCCTGAGAGGGGCAGGGCTAGAGGCTGGGGAATCAAGAGACCCAATGATGTTTTCCTGAATGAAGGAAACTGGCGACCCCTCAGGAAAGACCTCCTCAACCAGCTGGTACCCACACAGCCCCACCATCAGGCCCCAGGGTCAGGTGCCAGGTAGGAGCTGATATCCCCAAGAAGCCAGGACACCCGACAGTCCCTGCCCAACCAGGTGAAGAATGCAAGATGCCCTCCTCTAGAGAGGTGCCCCTTTCTGAATGTGGGCTAAAAGAGGGAGATACCTGGCCCTGCCTCAGGAGATAGGGGAGGAGCGTGCCCTGCCCACTACCCCTTGCAGGTTGGTATCCCAAACCACCCCATCCTGCCCACACTCCCTCAAAGCTGGTGACTGGGGTCCAGCCCTCAGTTGGGTCCCTCAACCCCCTCCATGGCCTTGGGGGTGGCGACTAGGAACGGAGCACAGCCTTGCCTGTAAAACCAGAAACCTCTGCTCAACAGACCTCTCGCCCTGGGAAGGAGGTGCAGACCAAACCACCAGCACCATGTCACAGTGCATTTCCTTAGTCTTTAGTTCAAAACACCCCCCACTCCTCCACTACCCCGTGTCTATGGACAGAAGCAGGAAGAGGCAATTATGACAGGGTATTAAAGTGGACTTTAGCCTCATGGGTTCTACTTTATCTCATGTTTTCTGAAACTTTAACCATGAACTTTCCGTAAATAAATCTCAATTCCAGAACCACTAAAACTCAGAAATTCTAACACGCACCTAAGAGAAAAAACAGAGAAGTACAAGAATGCTCCTAAAATCCATCTGTACTCAGTAGCCCCACTTGCCCTCAGTCCTTAGTGCGCAAAAAAAACACTTCTACCCACTCCAATAACAGAGAGAGAAACAGAGACACAAGAGGTCACGTAACTTGCCCATGGCAAAAACAAAAATATGGTGAAGCCTGAAAGTGCACCCTGTAATGTTAGCAAATACAGTTAGGCACCTGGGCACACTCCTTAACTTAAAACGAGCAGAACACTTAAGGATCTGCCTAGCACCACTAGTTAACAATGTTATTAACTCTACCAACCAAAAAAACAGAAAATAAGTCAGGAACTTGACGCAACGTGAAGTAGTAAGCAAACAGGCAAGCATGGCATTGGACACAGAGCAGCTGTGGCCTGGAGCTTTGGGCCTCTGGCTCCATACTTGTGAGATGAGCAGGCTGTGAGCCAAGAACCTTCCCTGAGGCTAAGGCTCTGAAACAGACAAGCAAGCAGAGGGACCAACACAGAGGAGCAGGCCTGCTGGGTGCCTGCCACCAGATGAGAAAATTAATTCTCTGGAGACATACGTGCCCTAGCCATGGACTGAACCTCAGAGACCAGCCCCCAGAGAAAACACAGGCACGGCAACACGTGGACAGAGCTCCCAGCCTCCCAACACACACAGATTCCCGGACAAATAAAACCAGAAAAGGAACTTCAGTTGCTCAAAATGCTGTGGCCGCATTGTGGGACAGCTCCACCAACCCAGAAGTTCAGGCCAGGGCTGAGGGCCGGGCCTCCCAGTGCCAGGAAGAGCCAGACAACTTATCTACAAGCGCCTTGAGGAGGAGCTCCATCAGCCCCACCTGGCAGCCTGGCCCAGTGGAACCTGGCCTCGCACCAGCCAGACTCAGGGTGGGTTTCAGCTCTTCTGCTTACTAACGGTGTGCAATCACGCAAAAACAGCCAAACCTCCCCTGAAACAAAAGTCCCATGTATCCCAGGTGTGTGACGACGTGGAAGAATACCAGCTGAATGAAGACGTGCCTCTCCACTTGGTAGTGGGCATCACACTAAGGATAATTTAAAAAAAAAAGATATATCGATTAGGCACTTAGTGCGTACCAAGGCCCACGCCACACAAATTCTCTATGTGTTACCCTATGTGATTTCAGCTCTACCTCTTACTAGCTGAGATCTAGACAAGTATTAAAACTTTCTGAGCCGGTTTCCTCCTCTGCAAAAGCAAGAAAATCATTTCAGCCTCACAAGGCTCTTACGAGGATCCACTTAGAAAAACTGCAAAGAGCTTACCAAAGCGCCCAGCACGTGGCAAGCACTCAGTTTAATCTATCATTACGATCCTCCTCAATTCCACAAACGCGGTGACACAACAAGAATCACTCTACGAACGGAAGACACGGACACCGAAATCTTACACACGCAACAAAGCAGGTGTTTGAGCCGAGGAACGCCCGGCTGCACGGGCACTCAGGAGGAGGGCCTCTTCCCCGCCGGGGCCGCTCTCCGTCTCACACGGATCGCTGCAGCGTCCCCCGCCTGTCCTCCTCCTGACACGCCGCAGCCCCCACGCCCCTCGGCCCCAGCTTGGGGGGAACGTGCTTCCGCCCGCCCCGAGCCTCAGCTTCCTCCTGCCCGCGCAGCGCTGAGGCCGCGTCTACGCGCCCCGACGCCGGGACCAAACGAGCAGCCAACACTCCACGCTGCGGGCGTCGGGCTGCCACAACTCCCGCGTCACAAGGACGCACGCGTGTCCTCTCCCACGAGGGACACCGCGGCACGCTCGCTGCCCCGGGCCGGGCGCACCCCCCCCCAGACTGGCGCCCACGTGAAGGGGGCTCGTAACCGCCATTTTGGAACAAAGGGGGCGTGGAGACCCGGGCCGCGGGCCCGGCCGGAAGCGGAAGTGCTGGGACAGCGGGAAAGAAAAGCAGCATTGCGGGACTTGATACACAAAAACCCTCCTTTCAGGTTATTTAAAAAGGAGTTAAGAAAAAAAGGGGTGGGGAGTCCACGAGGGAACACCCAGCCATTCCGCGAGTCCGCGCCGCCTCCGCCGCGGACCACGTGGGGCGCAGAACGGAGCGCGCCGCGCATGCGCCCGGGACCCGCGCCCGCCGCCCCCTCCCCTCCCCTCCCGCGCGCGGCGGCACGCCGGGTGGTCACGTGAGCGAGGCGCGCGCCGCGGAGCGGTGGGGGGGGCGCCGCGCGGCCCTGAAAGGAGGGGGAAGAGAGGGGGAAAATGGCGGGGGACACGGAGAGAGGCCAAGAGCCGCCCCGCCCGCCGCCCCGCGCCCCCGGCGCCCTCACCTTGCTTATTCTCGTTGAGCTGCCGCTCGAACTCGTCGAAGTCCGACATGCTGAGGCGGCCGCGTAAGGGCCCTGTGCAGCTCTGGCCTCGCCTTGCCGCCCGCCCGCTCCGGCCGCTTCGGCTACTTCCGCCGCTCGCTTCGGCTACTTCCGGCCGCCGCCGGCGCTCCGCCGCCTCCTACCTAATCAAGCCCCGGCCGCCCGCCCCGCCCCGGCTCCGCCCTTCTCCCCGCCCTCCCGCCCGCGAGGCGCCCCTCCCCCCAGAGCCTGGCTCCAAATAGCGTCCGCTATTTCCCGGCCGTAGAAGGAATCGGGAACGGCGGCTTCGGCTGCTTCCGAAAACACCCGAAGCGATAATTTCACCGGCTTCCCAAGCAATCGTAACTTTTCGGAAACTAGCTCAACGTTCGGGTGTTTCCGTAGGTCCGCGCGTTCCTCTACGCCCAGCCCCCCCCAAGGGTTCGGCTTCTTCCGACAATTCAAACCGCCCCAGTCTTTGGCTGCTCCCGCAGATTCTGCCCGCTCTTCGCCGCCGGCCCTATCGAGGCAATCGGCTACTTCAGACAATCCTAAGCGTCCCGGACTTCTGCGCTTTCTGAACGTTTCCAGCGCTGGCTCTCGGCACCAGCCAGAGGATTAAACCCGATGCCAAGCTTCGGCTCTTTCCGGACAGTGCACTCACTCCTCCCCCGCCGGAGAACTTCGGCTCCTTCCGCCACCGCTTCGGGAAGGCCTCGCTCACGGGGACAGCTTCGGTTTTTTCCGTCGGCGCTTCGGCTCCTTCCGGCTTCGGGAACCGAAAAGGGAGGGAGGACAGAGACGAGGTTGGTCAGGAGAAGGGATACAGAGAAAGGGCGGGGTCCCGGCTCTCTGCACCTGGCTTTCCGGGTGGGGAGAGCGGAGGGAAAAACGGGCCGATCTCGCGGACGGCCTAAGAAGGTTGCGCGAGACAAAAGCAGGCAGCGGGGTGAAGGGTGCGCGCGGCCGCTGCGGAGGTTGCCAGCGCGGCTTTGTGCGCCTGCGCAGAGTGGAAGAGAAAGGGGGGGGCGCGAGATCTGCTTCTGCGCCTGCGTAGAGGTCGGTCTGAGGCTAGGTTTCTCACCGTGCGGGAGGCGAGCGCGTTCCCGAGGCCCCAGCACGCGTGCGCGAGACTTTCCCTTACTCCGGGAAAGGTACTGAATTGCGGACCGTTAAGCACATCCGCCTTCTCCTGGGTGCTGTAGCAACCGCGTAAGCGCGCTCGCTCCCCTCCCGCAGCGCAGGCGTAGCAGGCGACGTAGAGGGCACTTCCGGAAGACCAGTAATCCGGCAGTACCGCCTCCTAGCGGGCGGGCGTGGAAGCCTCCGCCCAGACGTGTCCCTTCCCCCCGCTTGGCGGTCGCTTCCGCTCGCGGTCATCGAGTCCCGTCTCCCGCCGCCCCGCCTGTAGTCGAGGTAGCCCCGCGGGCAGTGTTAACGCCTCTCTCCCGGAGCTCTGCCCCTCCGAGTTCCCTGGGGCACAACTGCTTCTCCCCCCGCCCCTGTCGCCGGGGCTGCTAATTACACCCTGTCTCCCCAAGCTCCGGCTCCCTGCCTGACCGCCCGCTCCGTGGAGCTCCCCGGGGCTCCCGTCACTGTCTCCGCGGCAACGGACACTCTCTCCAAGAAGAGGCCGGGCCTAGTTTATCCCAAATTTTATCGTCTCTCTTTAATTTAAATTCTCTGAATAATTCTTTCTCGTCCGAAGCTCCTGGCAGAGTGGGCCAGCCTGTCCTCGGGGCTGGGGGTAGAGACGGGATATGTACAGTGCCTGGCCCCGCAGAGAGTCTCGCAGTGTCCCCAGGAGGGAGGGCCGGTGAGGGCAGAACGGTGCAGCTCGCGTGGGAGGGGTGCCAGTATTTGGGAAAGGGCAGAAACCGACCCCTGGGCGGTAGCTCTTGGGAGCCTGGCTATGGGGACGCCCCTCCCCAGGGAATGCAGAGGAAGGGGAGGGTGCTAGGACCGTGAGAGGCAAGGAGGGGACCAGATCTATATACAAGGGACCCGGGGTGGGAGTGGGGATCTGCAGGAGCCGGAGGGGCACACGCAGAAACACCCCAGGCCCTCTGGAGGAGCACACCACTCATGCACACGCTCGCTCGGTGCCAGGAGGGGCACAGGAGGGAGGGAAGTGGGGGCCGACGGGCGCGTCCTGGGCCAGGTGGGGCAGGATCACCGCTTGAAGCGGTAGGTGATAGGAAGCAGCAGCTTGCTCTTCTTGAGGGCCTGCACCTTCTTGAGGGTCTCGTCGTCCAGGGCCAGGAAGCAGCGGCGCGAGTACTCCAGCAGACGCTCCTTAGAGGGGTCGAACTCGCCCACCTCCGCCAGCTTCTCCGGGGCCACGATGAGCAGCTCCGCGATGGGCGTGGTCAGCGCCACCGTGTTGCGATCTACTCGGTGGTGCTCAAAGGCCCGAGACATGCTCTTCAGCTTCTGGAAGGTGCCCAGGATCTTCTTGTAGCGGCAGAGGACGCCGTCTGCATCCTTCACTGCAGGGCCAGGGCGGGGCAGAGAGAGAGACATGAAGAACAGAGATGGACACGGGAGGCAGAGATGCGGCAAGGACAGACAGGGAGCCCCGTACAAGAAAAGCCAGGAGAACGACATGGAAATCCAGAGGCCAGGTGGGTGAGGAGTCAAGAGGTGGTGGGAGACATAGACACAGAGTGAGACAAGTGGAAAAATCAGAGAAGGCAGGCCGAGAGAGGAGGGGGAGTTCCCAGCCCCGCTGAGCCTCACCCACTCCCCTTGTTACTGATGAGGAGCCTGAGGCTCAGTTAGAGACCCTAGAGGGCAAGGCTGCTGAGGGTGGACTGCAAAAGTAAGACCACACATGGAGGCTGGGACAGACAACCAGGCTAGGGGAGAAGGGAGGGCCTCCTCGAAGGTCACAGCAAGACCCCAGCCCAGACCCCTTGAGCTCCCACCCCCTGCGGGCGCCTTGCTCACCCCGCTGCCTCTCCCGGGCCTTGGGCTTCCCAAAGCGCCTCCGGCCAGCACCTCCCTTCTGCTTCTGCCTCTTCCTCTCCATGGTACTGCCTTCTTCAGACGCTCCGCTGACCGAGGAGGCCGCTGACTCGGGGTCTGAGGCCTCGCCCCCAGCCCCACCCCGGCCATCCCCCTCAACCCGCCTGGGCCCAGGCTTCACCCGACAGTGGTCCTCTGGAGAGACAGAGAAAGAGAGACCCGTACACATGAACTTCCAGAACAGGAGGGAGAAGGAGGCAAGAGGCTGGCTGTAAGATGGGGACAGATACCACATCACACAGGTCCCCAGGAAAGGGGGGCCTCAACCAGGGCTGGAGCCCCCAAGGAGACCAACAGAAAATGCAGTATAGATGCTGTAGTTCTCACCAAGATGGCTGAATACACTGCACTTGGTTGGCTTTGGGGGCAGAGATCACAGGTGGGGCATGGGTTCATGCTCTTCTGACTTCTAAACTTTATGGCAAGAGATCTGGGGGGAAGGGCTGAGAGGAGCAAGACAGGACCAGACACCTAAGAGAGTCTGTGACTATAGGCTCCCCCAGTGGAGGAGGGGGTTTCTGGGGACTCAGCGGGACCTCCAGAAGAGTAGGCTCTAAAAATCCAGGAAGCAAGCAAGGCCTTGGTTGGGGTGGGGGACTCAGACCCTGAGAGAAATCCCAGGCTCTAGGTCTAGTGGGCTGGGAAAGTCAGGCGCCCGCCTTCACCAGGACAGAAGGTGGGCTGGGGGGAGGTCCAATGTTGGGATTCTCACTAAGAAAGTCCAGAAGACCCTGGGCCAAACCATCCTAGGTAGGTTCCCATCAGCATGGGGAGACAATGGGAGGTCCCAGCAACCCAGGCCACAGGTAGTTCCAGAGCAGAGGGGTCCTCAATAACACAGATGTTGAAAAAACACACCCCTTGCCCAAGCTGTCAGGTGAATCACGGGATTACAGGGTCCTGGGGAGGAACCAGCCCGGGGCTGAGCATCGTGTGGAGGGAAGCAGAAGTTGGACTCTCCAAAACCGGGTGTAAAGATTTGGAAAAGGAAAGCCCTGACTATCTCTGGCAGGGGATGGCCACAGGATTCTGCCCATCAGCAGTGGCAGGAGTCAAGCAGGAAGGAAGCGGAGCTTGGGGTCCTGGAGACGGCCTCAGGAGTAGGGAGAGATGCCCACCGGGCCACCAAAGGATGAGAGGAGGTGAGAAGGGTCCCGTATCCAGGAGAAGGGCCAGAGCTGTGTCAGGGCCCAGGAGTGAGACGAGGGACTAGCCCCTCAGGCACCTCACCTGCATCTATGCGGGCAGACGAGATAAACTTGTCTAGCTGACACCGTAAGAAGTCCCTCTCCTCCTCCAGGTCCTCAATGCGCTTCTGCAACCATGAGTTTCTCTCCAGGGCCATGTGCAGCTGGGCCCTGACACCATTCATCAGGGCCACGGTCGGGGATGCGGCCTCCGGAGGCTCTAGGGACACCAGGAAGCCTTGGTCACACCCCAGGCCTCAAGGGCCCTGCACCCCAGCTGACTGGGGTCCCTCCGAGCCTTCCCCCCAGCTCACCCTCGAAGTTCCCCCGAGAGGGGCTCAGACTGTAAAAGATCTGTGGGTCTAGGTGGGGCGTCTCATCGAAGGGGATGGAGATCTCGAAGGCCTCATCGTCTTTCTTCACTGGAGGGGAGAGGCCAGGGGTCACCCCAGGCAAGGCCCCAGGCACCTCAGACCAGCCCCCAACCACAGCAGCCCTGGGGAGGAAACGGCAGGGATGGGCAGGGCAGTGGTGGGACCAAGGGTGGGGCAGGGTCCCAGCTTCCTCACGTGTCCTCCTCCGGTTGTTTCGGTCATTCATGGCGCGGCCTGCAGCGGACCCAGGCAGCTTAGCGCCTCAGGGGCACTGGACAGAAAGGGCAGCCACAGATGGAGGGACCCCCCAGGGGAGGTGGGACCCAACTCTTTAGCACTGGGGGTGGGGGGATGATGCTGAGGGCCGGGACTCCTGGGTCTGAGGGAGGGCACCTGGGGTTTCAAACTCCTGGGCTCCTAGGAAACGAGGGGGCTGGGGGCCCAGACCCTGAGCTACTGAGAGGAGGAGGAGCGTGTTCCCCGCGGGGGACAGAGCCGAAACATCCTGGCCTGGATGGGGCGGACCCTCATCACGGGTCACCTCGGGGCCAAAAGAAACGAGAGGTGCAGGGGGGAGGGGACCGTGCCCCAACTTCCAGGCGTAGGGTGGGGGTCCAGCCCACGCGCAGCCCCTCCCCCGCACTCGTGTGGGCGAGCAGGGCCCCTCCCCCGTGGTGGAGGGGGCGGGGCGCGTGCGCAGTGCGGGGGGAAGGTCACGCGTGGGGATGCGCCCCCCCCGCCCCCGCCCTTTGTCCCCCGGGTGGGAGGGGGAGCGATGTGGGCCAGGGGTCCCAGCGGGAGACTCACTAGGCCGCGGGTGCAGATGCGGCCACCACCCCCCGCCCACAGGTTCCCGGGGTCGGAGGGGCCAGAGCCCCGCGCTCACCCACCCGCGCGCGGAATCCGGCCAGGGGACCGACAGCGGCGGCGCCCATGCTCGGCGCCGGGGAGCGTCTGCAAAGTATCGCGGGGAGTGGAGGGAAGAGCCCGCTCGCTTCGGGCGGGCTGGGCGGCAGAGGTGGCGAGTCTCGGGCGGGGTGGTGGGCCGGTGGGAGCGGGCAGGGACGCCGGTACTTCCCGGTCGGCCGGTCGGTGCGCTCCTCCGGGACCCTCCGGCCCCAGGTGAGACCCGCCGTTTGCGGCAGACGCGCGGGCTGCGCTTGCGCGACGGCCCCTTGCCGCACTACCCCTCCCTCCGCGAAGCCCGGGCAGGGAATGTCGAGAAACTCCCAATTCCTGGAGAGCAGGCGGCTCCGGGGTCCCCGGGGTGGGTGGCGACGCACCGAGTCGGGCCCGGGAGAGAGGAGACAGCCAGGGAAGTTGAAGCAGAGGGAGAATCTTTTTCAACGGTACCCCAGGAATTGGCCCCACGGACCCCCGCAACCCGCTCCTTCATCTCCCACAGTAGGCGCATCACCAGCACAACCAGACCGCACGCACGGTTCCTAGGACCATGGGAGGGTGGAGGAGTTAGAGGTACCCTCCCTGAAAATAGGGGCCTGGAACACCAGCACCACTCCTGTGGTAGCTAGCTTGGGAGCTTTCAGACCCAATCTTGGCCGCTCCTTCTCCCCCAACCCCGCCTCAGTTTACTCACCTGTAAAGTGGGGAAGTTATGGTCCCTTTTAGGTTCCTTGTGAGGATGTACTGATATGGTGCAGGCAAAACGCCCAGGCCAGCGTCTGGCCATAGTCTAGGCTCAAGATCAGGGCGCTGGCGGTGGTATTTGAGGTCAGGCAGTGGGAGGCTCTTTCCCTCTCTGGGGAGTGGACATGGCTAATTTGTTCTTCCACCCAAAAAGAGGTCAGAAGAAGAAATGGGGCCCAGCACAGTGCCTGGCACAAAACAAACGCGCAAGGAAAATTCATTAAGAAGGCAGATGTTTATTCAGCTTCCGGCTCGGCTCCCTGCCTCTCCTCCCAGTCACCAGTTGCTATTGGGATTTTTGCCAGCCCTGCGAGAGTAGGGTTTTAACCTTGCAGAAGGAGAATTTAAATGTCTGCACCACTTAGAAAGCTGTGGCCACCCTCCTACCTGCTTCACATTACAGACAAACTGCAGGCTGGGTCAAAACGTCCGCCCTAGATTGGTGTTTTGCAAACTACAGGTTCATGGGCAGGGAATTCAATATAATAGAACAGAAATGGCAGGAGGAAGAAAAAGTGGACTGCACGTGGCAGAGATTCAGTATTGTTAAAGTTTTGTTTCACATATATTTTGTGTAATGTATACTGGGTTGCCAAATAAAATGTTTCGTACAATCGATCCTATCTTTAAAAGGGGGGTGGGGTGGAGTGGGTTTAAAAACACTCTGCCTAGATGATGCACCTTGTGAGGAGCCACGCTAGGATTGACCCCAGTGCACCCCAGTGCAGAAGGCCAACCTTCCCATCCCATGCCAGGCAAGCCAAGAATTTTGCACTGGTATGACCCATGCAAGGTGCTCAGTGCAACACCTGGCCATAGTCTAAGCTCAAGATCAGGGCGCTGTTCCTGTTATTTGAGGTCAGACAGTGGGAAGCTCTTTCCCTCTCTGGGGTGAAGAAATGGCTGATTTGTTCTTCTGCCCAAAAAGAGGTGGGCCAGGCACTTGCTGAATCTCCCTGTTGGGCAGCAGGCTGGCCAAGCCGCTGTCCCCAAAAACAAATCTCAAGTGCTCAAAATGGCAAAGGTGTTTATTGGGTGTCCAGTCTCAGGCCCTATCTGGGGGCTGGGAGGCAGGTCCGGGGCCCCGTCCCCCAGCATCAACATGGAGGCCTCGGGAAGCTGGTGCAGATTCTTGATGGCTCCCAACCCCATTTTTCAGGCTGGAGAACTTCCACCCATAGCACTCTCCCCCACACCTCCAGTCAGGGCTCAGCCGGAGGCTGGAGGGCTCCACTCTGTGAATGTTAAGGTCTTGTCTCCATCTTATCTCCAAAACACGAAGGCTACTCATGAGCTCCTCCTTCAGGTAGGGCTTGGCCTTTGCAGGAGGTGTGTCTGTGTCCAGGGCTGCAACCCAGCCTTCGGCACTGGCCAGGTGTCTGAGGGCGACAGGAGTCCAGGCTCCCCCCAGAACCCCATGGTACCTGGGGTACCCTGCAGCCTGGCTCATGGATGCTTCCACCGAGTGTGCTTTTGCAGCGTGTTCTGCTCCATAAATCGGCGTGGGCAGTGGGGGCACTGAAATGGGCGCTCTCCCGAGTGGACCCGGCTGTGCTGGGCCAGCTCACCCGCCTCACGGAAGCGGCGAGGGCAGAGCGGACAGCCATGGGGTCGCCCACCGCCAGCCCGGTGGATGGAGTGGTGCCGAGCCAGGTGGCTGGCCCGCTTGAATGCCTTCCCACAGGTGTCACACTCGAAGGGCTTCACCTCTGAGTGGGTGATGCTGTGTCGCTGCAGGTAGGACATGTACTCGAAGACCCGGGAGCACACAGGGCAGCTGTAGCACTTTTTCTGAGCTGATGCCCCATCTGCCCCAGGCTCTCTCTGAGACTCCTGGTCCACCAGCACGGTGTATGGGATGCCCTGGGTGTCAATAAGCAGGTAGTGGTTGGGCCTCGGAGACGAGGAAGTCTGAGGAGGTCCTGTGGAGGAGGAAGGTCCGGGTTCTGGAGACCTGCCTGTCCGAGAGGGCCGGGCCTCCATGGCCTCTGCGGAGGGCAGCACCAGCATCCGGAGGGGTGGCTGAGGCCTGGTGGATGGGAGAAGGGATGAGGTTAGGTAAAGGAGGGAAGCTGGCCGCACGAGCTCTGTTCTTTATCCTCTGTGTACGCTGCCCACAACCTGTGCATCCCCCAGCCTCCGTCCCTGGACTCTATGGCCTTCTGTAAAGCTTCTAGGGTCCTTCTCCCTGCCCCGCCGTTCCATCACCCACTGTAAGCACAGGCGCACCCGGGACCCCGCTCTATCCTCCTTTGCACCCTCCTCAGGTGCCTGGGCGCCCCTTTACTCTTGGCCACCCGCAGGGCCTCTCCAGGCCCCACCCCCTAGACCTGCAGGTCTTTCTCTCGGCTCTCCACGCCCCTGACCCAGGTCTGGGTGTCGCCCCATCCTATTACTCCACCCAGAAGCCTTCCATGTTCGCCCAAGCCTTCTCCAACGGGCTGCCACGTTAAGACCCGCAGGTCCTGACCCGCCATCCAACAACCTCCCTCAACAGCCCTGCGCCCCCTTCCTAACCCGGCTACCTCTAGGTTCTCTCTCGTCCACGCCCATCCAGTTCACCCTCCCCAAGTTTTTTCTGGGTCCTAGCGCTCTCTAGGGCGCCGGCCCCGCGAGTTCTGGGCGGTGCCCTCCTGAGCCCCCATAGCGGCCCCTCCCCGCCCAGCGCACAGGTACCCGCTCCCGGCCCCGCCCCTCTCGCGGCCCGCTCCCCGCTCGCTCCAGCCTCCCGGCCCCCGTACCCGGTGCAGCAGCCTCTCGGGTCCGGGCGACTCCGGAACGGCCCCGGGCTACCCCCGTGGTCGCGGGTGGTGGCGGGACGTGCGCCTCTGGGTGTCCCCCGGGAGCCGGTGGCACCGGTAACAAGAGAGCGGACCGGGGCGCGGAGAAGAGGGTCCGGGGAGGAAGGTGGGGGCGGGGCGCCTGGGCCTTCGGGAAACGGATCCGGCCAGAAACACACGCCGAGAAGAAGGTTCCCAGGTGCTCACGGTCCTGGCTGCCCCCTCCCAACCCGCTGCCCACCCCCCAACACACACACACACACACACGCAAATCAAAGCCCTAAAGTGGAGTGCGGAATGTTTATTGAGTAAGGGGTGAGGGCTGTGGGTGGAAAGGGGGAGATACAGAAATGAGCCAGACCGCGCCGTGCTCTTTTGTCAAATCTACCGCGCACACAACCGTTCACCACTTCGGAGCCGAAGACCAAGGCTCAGAGACGTTGTCTCCTGCAAAGGCTCGCGCAGCACAGCCGGGCCGGAACCCAGCTCCGAGACTGGCTCCCAGGCCCAGGGAGGGGCAACGGCTTGGTCTACATCACACAGCTAGGAAGGTAAGGAAGGGCTGGTGTTTCTCCCTTTGGGCGGATGGAGAAACGGAGGCCCCGGGTAAGGCAGGGAGCGCGTGTGGGAGTGACGCTGTGTGGCTCGCGAGGCCCCGAGGGTCTGGAACTCAGTGCAGGCGCACGTGCTGCGCCAGCTCCGCGGCGTCCTGGAAGCGACGTGGGCAGAGCGGGCAGGTGTGCGGCGGGCCTGCGCGCGCGCGGTGCGTGGCGCGGTGCCGCGACAGGTGGCTGGAGCGCTTGAAGGCCTTGCCGCAGGCGCCGCACGTGAAGGGCTTGAGGTCCGAGTGCGACACGCGGTGGCTCTGCAGCCGCAGAGGGCTGGCAAAGACGCGAGCGCACTCCGGGCAGCTGTAGCCCTTGCGCGGCCCGGGTTCTCCCGGCGCTGCCTCGCGCTGGGGTGGGCCCCGGGGCTCCTCCTCCAGCTGCACCGTGTATGTGTAGGGCACCCCGTTGGCGTCGATGAGCAGGTGGCGGCCCAGCCGCGGAGGCCGGGGCCCTGCCGCCGAGGATGGAGTGGAGGAAGGGCCTTCCGTCTTGGGGAAAGGGGGAGCCTTGGGGGGCGGTGGGTCCATGGCCTCTGGGGAGGAGGACCGAGGGTGGGGTGGCCGAGGCGGCAGCAGCAGCATCTGGGGTGTCAGCTGCGAGCAGTGGAGGGGGGAGAAATTAAAATCGCGACTTTCTGGGGGAGAGTGTCCCCATTACCACTGCTCGTTCGGCTCTCAGTACCACTGACCCACCTCTCCTGCAAAAAAGAAACCGCCTCTGGGCCAGGCGGCGCCGCTCCCAGGACACCCCCTGCCCGCCTTTCCTCCCGCGACTCCCTCTCAGACCCCAGGCCAGGCGGAAGGTCCCTATCCTGCCCCTTTCCTATCCCCCAACTCCCCCACAGCCTGCCAATCGGCAAGTCTGTTTCCTCCCTCTACAGCTTGTTCCTAACAGGTCGCTCGCTTCCTCGTCTTCCCAGGCCCAGCTCCGGTGGCACCCTCTCCCCCGGGGCCAGCACAGCAGCCTCGTTCCCTGGGAGGCCTCCCCATCTCTGCACACATCGTGGCCTCGCTCGGATTTATTCCCTTCTGGGTACACCCTCAGAACGCCAGTTTTCACTCTGGGCTCCTCTATTCCGACCCTGCACTTAACACCTCCAAGTCTCACCCTCCCCCTCGCCTAGCGGACCCATTGTCTGGATTTCACGCACACAGCCCTAGGACGCCTCAGCTGCCTGCTTCTACGCACCCTACACCCGGGGCCCTGCTACCATCTAAATGCCCCCCAGGGGTGCCCCTGTCTCCCCCGCCCCTAGACTCAAGTCACCGACATCCTTCTTTCTTCTGTCTGTGCCCCTCAGAGGCCTCGTCCCGCTCCCCGTTAGCCGCACCGGGACCCCCGGAGCCCCCTCCCCTCCCCTCTGTGTGCATCTGGCACCTCTGTTTCTCCATCCCTCCAGCCAGCTCCTGTGTGCCGCCTCCTTCTGTAACCCCAGTGCCCGGGGTCCCCCCGTCCCCCTTCTCGCTGCACCCTCAGGGCCCCTCTCTCCCTCCGGCCCGCCCCCCGCCCGGCTCCCACCGAGCCGGGCCCCACCCCCACCCCACCCCCGCGGCGCCCGCCCCTCCCCCAGCCCGGCCCGGCCTCGCGCCGTCCCGGAGCCAGGCTCCTCCCTCCGTCCCGGCCCCCGTACCCGATGCGGCGGCCTCTCGGGACCGGAGGAGCGGGCCGAGGTCCCGGGCGGCCCGGGCTTCCCCTCGCGAGTGCCGGCGGCGGCGGGACCGAGGCTTCCGGGAGCTCCGGGCCGGCGGCGCCGGGGACGCGGGCGCGGGGGGCGCGGGCGCGGGGGCGCGAGGGGCGGCGGCGTCTCTGGAAAAGGGCACCGTCCGGAAACGCTCACGCCTCAACGAAGGTTCCGCTGTCCCGGAGCGGGGCGCTCCCACGGTCCGCTTCCATTGAGCCCCGGCGGTGCGGGCGGAGGGCGCGGGCGCCGGCTGCACGGTGAAAGCCCTGCCCCCGCTCCCGCTCCCCTCCACTCCCGACAGGAGCTGTTCGGGCGCCGCGACACACATCCATTAATAAACGGGCTAGGCGGTCTGTTTGCCGGATGCTCCTCAAGGAAGGGGCGCACCTAGGTTTGTCCAGTTGAGGCTGGACCGTCCCGCCTCCTCCCCCGCTCGGCAGTGCAGAAGGCGGGAGCAGGGATGGTTCTGTCGGTCGGGCACACGGGGAAACCAAGGCCCACAGAAGGCCAGGCGTCACCCGCCACAGAGATGGGGGGCTGTGGCGTTCCCCACTGGACGGACGGGGAGACCGAGGCCCACAGAAAGGCCAGACAGTGCTGGATGTGGAGGTGGGGAAGGGTGGGTCTTCGCGTCGGGCTGATGGGAAGTTGAGGCCAGAGGAGGCGCGGCGGCCGCGTCTTGATGGTGCCCGGCACAGAGCGCGGTGCGCAGGGGGAAACCAAGGCAGCGTTCGGTGCAAGTGGGTCCACCCACAGGCCGCGCCTGGAGCTTCGTGCGGGGCCGCGCCAGGTGGCTGGAGCGCTTGAAGGCCGGGCTGCAGATGCGACTCGCAGCGGCGCGGCAGCTACCTGGGGACACGCACTTGGGGCGCCCGCTGCGCCTCTCGCAGCCACGCCCAGAACAGTCAAAGAGCAGGGAATGGCGTGGCGGGGAGCGCGCCGCACAGGACCGGCCGGAGAGGGGGCGGCGGGAGCGCAGAGCGGAGGGAGAGAAAGGGCGTTATTGTGGCGCGCAGCCCCAGGCCCCGGGGGAGGTGGGGGGCGCCAGAGCTGCATCCCGATGAGCTACCAGAAAGAACTGTCTGCGGTGACCAGCCCAGTGTGGCTACTGCGGCCTGAGGACCTGAATTTTAAATGCATTTCTCTTAAGGTAAATCTAAATGCCTGTGGTTTGGCACAGCTGCCACCATCCTCAACCTGGAGGCCGCAGGCCAGAAAGGACTCACAGTTGTATCTGGTTGAGACCATATGCTACATTTCAGTGTTTTACTGGGCAATATTGAAGAAGCCAGACAATACACAAATTCAAAATCCCATACACAGTTGGAAAACAATTTCTAGATGTGGCAATAAGCTGGAGCTGAGAAAGCATTCTTCCGAAAACCTTCCAGAAACCTCCATAACATCTGTGGAATTGGGCTAAAATTAAAGATCCTCTAGAATTGTGCTGCCCAAAACAGCCACATGTGGCTCCTGGGTTCTTGACATGTGTCTGGTCTGAACTGAGACATGCAAGACGCCCCACAGATTCTGAAGACTTAGTTTTACAAGAAAAGAGTAACGACTCTTTCATGAATGACTTTTATATTGATTACATTTTGAAATAGTAATGCTTTGGATATACTGGGTTAAGTAAGGCATCTTATTAAAATTGATGTCACCTGGTTCTTTTTTTTTTTTTTTTTAGTGTGGCTCACATTCTGTTGCTATGAGACAGCACTGACATTCCAAGTGTCCCCCAGGGCAACACAGATTCTGGTCCACACAGCTACCCAATGAGTCTCCCCAGATCCCTTTCTTGAGTTTCAGAACCATATAACTACCTGCATCCATGAGAGCCGCATTGCTTAGTGTATTGCATCCTCAGAGCAGACCTGCGAGGCAGGGGTCATGAAGATCCCTTTTATGGTTGATGTAACTGAAGCTGGGAGAGATCATGTGATTGGCCTGGGGTCACACCTCCTCAGGACAGCACCAGCTCCAGCCAGAGCTGGTGACCACCTCACACTTCCCCCCCAACCTGCCCCTGGCAACCACTATGCAAACCACGGTCCGCCCCCTGCTTATAGGGACAGCCTCCCACCCCCCCTCTCTGCCTCCTCCAGTACTTTCTCTTTATGGCCATATTGCAGCGATGTATTTTTTTTAAACGCACGGAATCATGTCATGCCCGGACTTAAAACCCTCCGCACTGCACTTAGAATAAAGCCCAGAAACCCATCGAGCACAGTGCTGCCCCCCAACCTCTCCCATCCTCCAGGGGCTCTGTTTGCTTTTCCCTCTCTCTGGAGTATTGCCTTTAGCCCCTTAGCAGGATGGACCCTTTCTGAACACTCAGGTCTCCGCTCGGACAGTATTTCATCACTGAAGCTTTGCTGACTGTGTCTGAGGTCAAGCAGGTGACACCCCACTCTGCCTCCTCATTCTGTTCTCTCTCTTTCAACATCCCATAGGGCAGTCCAGGGTGGTCTGGCTTATTTATCAATTTACTCTCCTCCTGTCTGCCTTTCCCACTCTACAAAGGCTGGGAGTTCTGTCTTGGTTGACATTGTATCTCAGAACCTAGCCAAGGTCTTGGCGGGGGGTAGGGGCTCCATTCAATTTTGGTTGAATAAATGAGTGAATGAATGAATGAATGTTTTCAATCACCCCATCCAAAAGTGAAGCATTCTCTACCCCCCCCCATAAAAACCCCTGCTTCTCTCCTGGGACATGATCGTGATGAAGCCCCCACATTCACTCGAGTCCAGAACCTTGGATGTCCCCATTCTGCCCCGCCCCCCATTCCTCAGCTCCCCAGAGCCAGACAGCACCCCTCACCTCACACAGCACCTCGCAGCCCCTGACCAGACCTTGAACTTACATGGCTCTAGGTGCAAAGGCTCCTGTGTTTTCCGGCTGGCTGTGTGTCTCCTGTCTGCCCTGCTCCCCAGCTCCTGAAGAATCCTCCCCTGGCTCAGCCTGGAATGCCAGGCCTTTCACCGTCTGCCCCAGCCACCCTGACCAGTCGGCCACACGTCAGATTTTGGATCACTGTGCCTCTGCTCACACTGGCCGTCTGGTATTCCCACCCCATGGCCCTCAGCAATCTCTCCAGCTTCATCTGTGACCGATTACTCATGTCCCCCCGCCTTCAGTTCACACAGCCTCTCAGTAATCCAGTGAGGCGGGCACTCCACTGAGCCTCAGGAAGGGCAAGAGGCTTGCATCCGCTCCCCAGCCCAAGTGGCAGGGACAGTATCAAAACCAGGGTCCCCCGCTCCAGCATCCTCACTTCCCTCCGCAGCCTGCAGCCCGAGCCCTGCCTCCGTCAGGAACTCTTCCTGGACCACTCTCCTCTCAACGCCCACCGTTCACTCCACACGACCTTGCATTCCCATGCAACAAGCCCTTCTCCCCTTTGGGGAACAAAGTGATTGCCAAGGCTGTGTGTCTGGGTCGATCTGGGTCTTAGTAATCCACTCACCAGGCTTCCTGCCCTCCTCCCTGCACCCCATCCCAGGTCTCCCCAAACCTCCCTCGCGGGGGTTCTCAAGCCCCCCTGCCCTTGGGGCCACTTGGTCCCACACCCCAAGGCCCTCGTGTGGTCCAAGCCCTCACTGCTCCATTGGGCAGGATCCTAACAATGCCACACCTCCTGCTCCCAGTCACTCCTCCAAGCCTTGGCTCAGCCATCCTACCCTCTTCGGTAAGTGGATGAATCAATGAGTTCCTGAGGGCTCCAAGTTCCCAAGCAGAGGGAGGTGTGCCTAAGAAAGCTCTCGCCAAGAACTCACACCCACAAAGGAAACGTTCCCACATAATTTGGGTTTCATCTCCACCCCCAACAACTTAAGAAGAATCAAAACTCCTATTGGTTAGAGCCTGTCACAGAAGACCCGTGAGCTGGGAAAAATAAGTAAGGAAGCAGTATGTGCTGCCTTTGGACGGCACCGCACACTTGTAGCTCACCTACAGTACTCAGGTATGGTTCCATCCCACTTACAGATTGGAACTGAGTTACAGAATGGCACAGCCGTCCATCCCAGGCTATGAAGAGCAGCTGCGGCAGTCAGGGATCCAACAAGAGCTCCCACCTCTCACCCCTGACCAGAGTTGGCTGGGGAACCCCAAGCCATTCCCTCTTCCGGACCAGGGAAAGGGAGGGTCCAGTCACATAGCAAGTAAAACCAGGGCCTCTGCCATCTGTACCAAAAACAGGAGATTCTATGGAGTCACCGTGGCCTCTCCGCCCTCCAGCAAGTTCCCTTCAGCCTGCACGTGCTGGGTCAGGCGCTGAGCATCCTTCGGACTCCAGGACAGAGCCGGCGGGCCGGGGCCACCCAGCCGGGCCGGTGCACGAACGAAGCGAAGCCTCACTGCAGCGCTTGCAGGCTCCACGCGCTCCGAGTGGGCGATGCCGTGGCTCCCGGGTGCGCGCGGCTCTTGCGGGCCGGGATCCCTGGGGGCCCGCGGGGGGGTTGAGGTGGGGAGGTGCTGGGCTCCTCTTGCAGGCCCGGCTCACTGGGGGACAGTAAAGCCCCCCGGGGAGGGGGGTGCTGGGCTCCTCTTGCGGGCCCGGATCACTGGGGGCCAGTGAAGCCCCGGGAGGAGGAGAAAGCTGGTCTCCTCTTGCGGACCCGCCGGGGGCGGGGGGGCGGCTGGGCTCCAGCCCGCGGACCTCCTCCCTGCGCATGTGCACCCCGGCCACCGGGAAGGGTCCGCGGCCGCCAGGGGTGCGCAGGGGCAGGCGGGGCAGCCGAGGGGCCGAGACCTGGACGGGGACCTAGGCGGGAAGGGCCGGTGCAGGCCTACCTCAGGGCGCCGCCGGGAGCCCAGCGCCGTGCGGTCACCTCCACGGGCCGCCCCGCGCCCGGCCCCGACGCCACTGTGGCCGGACACCGCCCCGGAAACCCGCCCCGACGGGAAACGAACACCCCCAAACAACGGTTCCGGCGTCGCAGGGGACAAACAGCAACCGAAATCAGAAGGGGCTGGCCATTTCTCTGTGGCTACACAGCAAAGCCAGAGGGCCGGACGTTTCCCGCCCTGCAACAGCAGAGGAAACCCGAGCCTTGACACTTAATACATCACAAGGCAGGAAGACAGAGTGCCGGTGGCGAAACCGAGGCCAGAGACAGGTGGTGAGTGGCGCAGGGCCAGGTACCGTGCCGCCAGTCCCTCCGTGGGCTGCAGTCCTGGAGGCAACTGATCCCCGGATCGAGCACAGCTGAACCCTTTGCCTCCATCTCCACAGCCGGCCAGTAGGCCCCTCCCTGAGGAATCCAGCGGGATCTGTTGGGCCAGCTCCGGGAGAGGTCGGCGGCGGCAGCCCACCCCAGGGCGGGTCAGCCAGCAGGGGCTGGGGCTGGTGGAAGGCGTGGAGGTCTTTCTGCAGGGGCCGCACACTCAGGGCCAGAATCCCAAATGTGAGACCCATGCTGGCTGAGGGAGAGCGTGCTCACACAGCTCTGCAGGCGCATGCACAAGCCTGGTGGGAGTCGGCCCATCTCCCTCTGCATCAACCTGAGCTGCTTCCTACAGCCACAGTAGGACATATGCAGAGCACCCCACCACAGCCAGTAAGTAAGTGACCACTGGAGCACGGGGGCCCAAGTGAGGACAGAACAGGTGACCGACTTGACCTGGTTTGGGATGCATCCCACGACTTTCCCAGTTTTAAAATGCAGAGGAAAAAACAAAGAAGAACAAGGCAAGAAGCTAGATGCCTTAGCAGGTTTGGCAAATCATTGCCATCTGGTGCTGACAGGGAGGAGAGAATTCGTTCCTGGGTTACACAGGGAGGACTGAAGCCAGAGAGTGAACTCCCCAGTCATAAATCCCACCCGGTGCAGAGTTAAAACCCAAGGTCCCTGCCTCCTGGGGGAGGCTCAAGGGGAGAAGATCATTAATCCCCTTGGGAGGTGAGGGCATCTTTTTCATTACTTCCTCCCGATTTCCCTGCCACCCGGAGGCCTGCAGTGCATCTCGAGGTTGGAGATCATTCAGTCGGGGATACAACAGTCCAGAAACGGATGCTGCCTGTCCACATGCCAGAGCCAAGCTCCACGTTGGAGAGCTGGGGAAACATTCCCAGCACACTGTTCGCTAAACACATCAGCTTTGTGTCCATATCAGTAAGAGACTCAGTTTGCCCTAATGTGCCAGGATGTGCTGAGGAACACCTACAGGAAGCCCGGGGGATTGGCTGGTGCTAGCCGAGACTGCTGGATTGCTTGAAGGCCTTGCCACAAGACTCACAGATGCCGTGCTGGACATCCAAGTGGGACAGGCCATGACCCTTGAGACAGAAAGCATTCTTGAAGACCTGCAGGCACTTAGGACAGCTGTAAACCAGGGGGGACGAAGCTCCCTTGTCTTGCAGGCTGTCATGAGGCTTCTCCACTCCCATCGTGGGTCTGTAGGTGTATGGTATGTCCCTCTGGGCATTGAGCAGGTACTGGCCTTGACCCAGGGCAGGAAATGAGTCTGGAGGCCCAAAAAGAGGAGGAGGGGCAAACTCAGGGGAAGGGTATTCGCTGGGGATAGGAGAAGCCTCTGTTGATGAAAACAAAGCCACGGGCATCCTTGAATCCAGACGAGCAGCTAAAGGAGGAAAACCTGCCTTAAGTGAAAGCAGGGAGAGCTGTGGTGACCAAAGGCCCTCCCTGCACCCCCCAATCTCAGCATACCCATGTCATCCTCCACTCTCTACTCCTTAAGGCCCCCCCTCCGGTCTGGACAAGGGGCAGGGGCGGTTTCCATGGCCCGTGCCACACGCTGGACTTGCTGACTTTACCGCGGCCCCACGCTCCCAGGGTTCACACGGGCCTCTAGCATCTATCAACCCATTCCTCCCGGCGTGCACTGGGGTCCTCTTACACTCCCCGGAATCCCCACGACCCCCGCGCTTTCCTTTACGATGCTGGCCTCCGTCTCGTCTTCCAAACGACCCGCGGGGAGGATGCACTCCTCCCTCCCTCCTGGGGCTCCCCGCGCTCCAAACGAGCATCTGCACCCCCCAGAGGTGCCTCCTCTCTGACGACCGGCGTCCCACCCCCGCCCTCCGTCCCCACGGCCTCGCCGGTGTCTGCCCCGTCCGTGTCCCCGACGGTCGTCCGACCCTCGCTCCCTCCCATCCCCCTGGACGCCCACCGGAGCCTCGCCCCAGACTCTCTCCGGAGCCCTCCCTCTCGGCGCAGGCGCAGGGTCCTGATGCTTCCGGACCCCCACTCCCGGCACAGCCTACTGTCGGTGCGGGCCTGGATCTCCTGGGAGCCCTAAAGGGACCAGACACTCCGACCGGAAAGGAAGGGGGGGGGTGTTCTCGTGAAAGGCTTCCGGGCAGAAACACACGCCATCAATGGAATGGTTCCAAGAGACTTTTGTTCCACTGCGCTCTCACTCCTTTACTCCTTCAACAAATACTTTGTTAAACGTCTCCTTCGTGGCATCTTCCGGGAATAAAAGAGTGAGAAAACCAGACCGAAGTAGTCTGTGCCTTCCTTCCCTTCAGAGGTGACAAATCTTATTTTTATCGGACACCTGCTGCAGCAAGGAGCTCTCCTGGGCCTCGTGGGGGCGACAAAGACCAAAATATTGAACTGTCACTCACCCCCTACCTAAGCACCTGGGAGAGGCGGGGGGGGGGGGGGGGGGCGGGGTATGACCATCAGGAGACCCAAAGCATCACTAAAGAATCTTAATCTTACTAAAGACAGGGATTTCGAAGGAGAAGGTCCTTTAGTGTCTCAAACTCAGCCCTACCGTTTTTCAGAGACAAGTGAAGCCCAGAGAGGTTCAGTGAAACGTTGGTCATACAGCAGGTGGACACCAGAGCCAGGATGGCAACCAGAGCTGGGACTCGACAATTTCTCATCCCATTATGATCATTTTAGGGAAACTGTTCTGTGGCCCCTGAGAGTTACAAGGGGTGAAACTAGAAAGACTGAAAATGAGAGAGCTGCCTCAGGGAAAGAGTCGCCTGAGTGCGACGCAGACGGGTGGATCCTCCAGCGGAGAGTGGTCGGTCTGGCTGGCCAACTACACGCTGGTTGAGCGGGCTGCCAAGGAAAAACCGGAAGGCTGAAGCCAGACTCCATGCTAACTGTCTGGAAGGATTAAGCATTCCATCAGGATTTTGTAGCAAACTTCAGATTTTAATGAAGCAGCTTAGAAATGACAGGATCCCAATATAGTCTCCGAACACTCAGACCCCAAGTCTCTCCAGGTGAATCTGAGAAGCGTTGTGTGACACCATTCTCACTTGGTGACTCAGTTTCCCCATCTGTTGTCGTATAGAGGCCACCATTCTTCGGGGTTTTTTTTATATAAGATGTTAATTACACAAAGTAACAAATCAGTGAATTTTTACATATATACACAGCAATATAATCAGCACCCCAGAGAGCTCCCCCGAATGCTTCCTGTCGGTAATTAACCCCGAGAAAGGGTAACCACTTTTTCTGATTTCAACTCCCAAAGATTACTTTGGCTTGTTTTTAAACCTCATATAAATATAGTTATATTTTTTTTAAGTACTTTTTCATGCCTGACTTCCTTCACTCAACATATGTCAGCCATGCTGTTGTTTTCAACAGTTCACTTTTTTTTTTCCCCATTGCTGTGTAGGTTGTGTTGTATGGCTATCCCACAATTTCCTTCTCTTTTCTTTCTAACTGCCGACGGACATTTGTTTTGAGTTTTGGTCTATGATGAACAAGGCTACTAGGAATATTCTCATACATGTCATTTGGTGGATATAAGGACACACTTCTTATGAGTGTGTATCTGGGAATGAAGTGCTGGGACCTGGAGTACATGTCCGCTTAGCCTTAGTGTGTATTAATGGTTTTCTAAGTGGCTGCAGCAATGTGCATACCTGTCAGCAGTGTATGCAGGTTCCAGCCGCTTCACACCCTCCCCAACACTTGATCCTGAAAGTCTTTATACTCTCAGCCTAGTGGGTGGAAGTGTATCTCATTTCATACCTTCCTGATGCCCAATGATGCTGAGCACATCTGCCTGTGTTCACCAGCCACTTTAATAGCTTCTGTTCTGAAACATTTGGCCCATTTTTAAGTGGAGGGATCTCTCTCGATGGCCAGGGAGGAGGCTTGGCAGGCTGAAGAAACCAAGGTCTGGAAAAGCCGAACAACATGCTCATGTTACACAACATTCCCAGTCCACTGGGCTGCCATCATAGAACACCAGATCTGGGGTGAGAGAAATGTACTTCTAACAGTTCGGGAGGCTGGGAAGACTATGGTCAAGATGCCGGCTGATTCAGTGTCCGAATTCAGAGACAGCACCTTCTCTCCTCACATGGAAGGGGCGAGGAGGTCTCTGGAGTCTCTTTTATAAGAGCACTAAACCCATTCATGAAGCCTCCACCCTCATGACCTAATCAATTCCCAAAGGCCCCATCTCCTAATACCAACACACTGAAGATTAGGTTTCAACATATGAATGTGGGGAGGGGGGAGACATAAACATTCAGTCTGTGCAAACAGCAAATCAAGCACATACACAGTCTTCATCCTAGCACCTGAGTCTCTGATAGTGAATATGGTCAGACACTGCCCCATCTACATCCCCCAACTTAACGCACTTACCAAGAATCTAGGAAGCAGCTGTGGTACAAAGGGCAAGAAAAAGAAGCTGGATGGATGAGGTGGGTGCTTACAGAGATCATGCATAGTTCAAGTCCAAGTGGAAGGTGCTGCAGGACCTGAAGGAAAAGGCTGTTGGGTGAACCCAAAGACACACCAGAGCTTGACGAAGATGCAGGGAAAACTGGAACCCTCAGACATTGCTGGTGGGAATAAAAAAATGGCGTGTTTCCTCAAAACGTTAAAGTTGAAAATTTACCATGTGACCCAGCAATTCCATTTGCAGGTAGATACTCAACAAAACCTTAGGCATGAATGTTCAGAGCAGCATTATCCATAAGAGCGAAAACGTGGAAAGAAACTAAATGTCCACCAGTGTTTGAGAAGTGGATAAATCCTATGTGGTGTATCCATTCCACGCACTATTACTCAGCCAGGACTGAACAAGCCTGGAGAACTACTTGTCCTTCAGAGTGACAACGCATAACGCACGCAGCCAGGGTCACTGGCTGGAGACATCAACAGGTCCTAGCCCCAGGCACTTGGGACTATAAGCTGCACCGTCTTGGGAGGGTTTTGAGCTAGGCAAGGACTCTACCATGTGAGGGCTTTGGGATTCCTCTGAAACTAGTGGCCTGAGGTCAGCAAGCAAGAAGCCTGGGGGGAACCTGGAGGTCGGCAAGAATCAGAGGATGGTTTCTGGAAGAAAGCTTCAGAAAGGCCTGTGTTGGCGGGCTGGTGGAAGCCGAGGGACGAGGGAGGGGCCTGGTGCTGAAATGCAAGCATGAGAAAGAAGGAGGTCCGAGCAAGCGGTGCTGCACATCGAGATGGCAAGAGCGACGCACAGGGAACCCTAAGTTCGTGCTCCATGGACAGGCTGAAATGCCCTGGAGAATCTCAGCGCTGCAGAGAGGAATTCACCCCGGAGAATATCACCAGCAGGAGCCCGCGCGCGGTCCGGAGTCCGTGCAAAGGCATTATTCCGCTCGGCGCCTTCACACCTGCTTTTATTCAATCACCCTGCGAAGTAACGCACAACCATTCCCGTTTTCCAGGAAAGGAGAATGAGGCTCAGAGACGGAGTTCACTGCTCAAGGGCACGCGGGCACCGATAAAGGACCAACATCCCTGCAGCCGAAGAGTCGGTCGGGTCGCAGCTTTACGGCCGCCTTCGGGGGCCGAGCCCCTTCCCTACACCCACTTTCTTCCGCCCCGCCCACCACGGCCCTTCCAGCCTCGGCCGGCCTCTCTATGGTCTTCCCCTCCCGCCCTTGTACACACACGCTTCCTCTCGTTTCCCTCCCAGCCTGGCTGCTCTATCCGCCGCCACCCTCTCTATGGTTCCCAACCCCACCCCCACCCCCGCCGCTCACACGGGGTCGGCTCTTTCTCGGAGTAACTCAATCCCGGCCTTCGGCCTCTCGCGCCCGTCCGAACCGAGCTGGGGCGGCCTCTCTTGTCCGGCTGGGCGGAAGTGGCGGCCACCGGGAGAGCGCTCGTAAAGAAAGCCCGGGCAAGGAGGGACCGCGACTTCCAGGGAGAGACCCTGGAATGACGGTGCGCGGTGCAGGCCCTCCTGGAAAAGGCTCCGGCCGGAAACGCGAGGCCCGGAGAGGAAGGGTCCGCTTTCCGCGCGGGCCCCCCTCCCCCCAGAGGAACTGGGATCCCAGAAAGATCACGGCGTCCAGAGGAGGTTCCTGCCTTGTGTTTCATTGTTGTTCCCCCAGCGCTGGACATAGACCAAGAAATCGGGAAATGCCCACCTCGGGACAGAGACCGGGGAAAACGAGGCCGAGAATGG